ATTGTAACACTGATTAACTCGAAAAAGTAACCCACTTTGACTTTGATGACTAATACTGCAACATTTTGCACCAGATTTTATTTAATCCATTTATCTTTCTCTTCCTCTCAATTAATCAATTTTGTTCTCTCTTTCTTAGTAAAAAAGAGCTTTTTTATAAGTTTTTATAAGAAAATCTGTAAAAAGAATGCAAAGCTGAATATTTACGTCGCATATTTTTACGATTCAAATTTTATAAATGAATAACATTTTATTTCTCTCTGAAGTATGTTACTCTAAAAGGAATTCCGATTAAAGTTTACTTACCAAGAAATAAAATTTTCGTTAAATTGGAAAGTGTCGATACGATGAACTCTCTTGACATTTTCGCTAGAAAAAACACGATTCTATATTCGTTAAATAATCCTTAAAATACCATTCGGTTGATCTAGGACATTATTTGTTACAGAAGATTGAAATATATTTACAATTAGGTTAAAAATAATTTCATTTTCTGTGTCTATTAAAACAGAAATCGAAATTCTAAAGTTTCATTCCTATACACTCTATATACAGTATAACAGACGGTGTCGACTGCAAATCGTACGCAAACTCGCGATTCGACGTTCGGACTGGATAGGTGAAGGCGTTAACATTTCCGTTTCATTTGAAACATAGCGTGGAAAACACATATTTGCACAGATCGCACACATTCCGTCCTGGATACGTCAATTGCGCAAAAGTTTCGAGTGATCTGTTCGCAAACCGAGTGACCCAAATAGACGTTCCCAGCGTCGAATGTTTGACCCCAAAGTTCGGGGAGAGAGAGAACCCCGGGTCGATCGCTAGCGGTTTTGCTTCACCCCCTCGAGCACACACGAGAGAACTTTGTCCCCGCGTGCATTTAACCGAGCGTTCCGCACTGGATTCGTCGCGCGTCGTAAATAAAAGTCCACGGGCGATAGCGCGAGCGGAGCGATCGAGTGAACGAGCGAGGGATACGTCAGGGGGATACTATCGTGACACCTGGTGCCTCGTGCAATCGGCATTAAAGTGCAATGAGACTGAAAAGGACGCAGAGAAGTCAAACCATCCCTGGGCGATGCGAGAGCCGTCGAAAGAAGCGAAAACTCGCCGACACACAATGACGTTCCACCTCGACGAGGAGCATCGTTGCTCCTCGAGGCGCCACAATGGTCCCCACGATCCATGGGGAACGCTGATTTCTCCACAATTTCTGTTATTTTGGGCGAGCGCATGGCCAGCAGGCTGATTCTCAAAGAGGGACGGTCCGGACGGCCGGCTGTGAGGAATGGACCGTGGAGAGTGGGATGGGCCGGACCGTGTGGAGAGAGGGACGCGCCTGCGAGGCGTGAGTTTGGGTTCTATCTTGGGGTTGCCAGGTGCAACCTTTCCCTTCCTGCTTGTATACCTGCTTTCTACAAAACATCGCTCATTCTTCGCGCTCGCCCGTCCGTCTCAGCCGTAGCCTTGACCATTCCCCGGACGTAATGCCACAAGAGACTCACTTGCTGGTCGTCGCGCGATAATCACCGAGACGAATGAATAGATTCGTACGTGCTTTCACTATTTTTTAATGGATGTGCCTCATTGGAATCTCTTTTCTGCTATCAGTATTTATGGGTATCTCAATCATTAGACAATTGGTAGTTGCAATAATTTATTTCTGGTTCTCAGAGAATGTGAGTAATGGAGAAGATAAGGTTGCGAAGGAAGCGTGCAAAAATTTGCATCTCAATGACTTTTTTCGACGATTAATCCGTCGGTACGTGCGAATTTATAAGCGTGTTGTTTCGTTGGAAAGCGAGAGGCGAATCTCAGCCTTGACCATCTTGAAACGGCGCGCGGGGGCGCGGGCAAGATGACGATATATTACCTCGTCCGGCGTCTTAAGATAATTAGCATACTGAGTAGGTAGGTAATTGTATTCGATGTTCTCTAAATGGTATGGGAACAAACGCGATGCCTGACACGCTTTAGAAACATAGTTTTGATTAGTGTTTACGCTAGCGTGGCAAGCGCTTCCCGCTTTTGTGAAATTTAATGTAGCGTATGGCAAATTGCCCGCTCTCTCTCTTCTCTCCCTGAACTTAGGGTAGCTGTGTGCTTTGTGTCAGCCGAATTATCTTAGAATGGAGGAGCGCGCGTCTTTGTAATGGCTTCTAAGGAAGTTATAACAATGAGTAAACGACCTCATATATATAAAGGAAAACGTTAAATCCTTGAATCTCTCCCTCTCCCTCCTCATCTCTTTCTCTCAACTCGTTATTCGCTCGTGGACTTTACCGTGAGCACTTATAACGATAATGTCCTATTAAGTACATTTATACTGTTTATATTACAGTTTATATAGAATATTTCAAACTTTACACGATTTATGTAGAGGGTGTATTTCGACTTTATGTATCGACGATATATATAAAATAATAGAAATTGTTTAATTATGAGTTATAATTACGGAATAGTGATTAGGAAAATGCTACATATCTAATGATTAGATTATATGTACTTGCCTAAGTTTGTTATTTATGACTGATTACAAATTGTTAATTGCAGTTCCATTGTATAATGAGAACTTAATCAGTGTTATTAGATATAGTTATGCTGATATTAATTATTAACATAATTTATTCAGACCATGCTATTATTACGTAAAATCAATTAATAACTTTGATGAATAAATAAATTTTATTGATTATATACTTTAGATATCCATCGTAATTCTGATTTTATTGCAAGTATTTTATATCAAATTAATCGGTTTTGAAATAATTTGAATTATAACCGAATCCTACGTTCTAAAAATGTTAAATTGTAATAATATTATACAAACAAAAATAAAATATAAAAGAAAGTATATTGTTAAAATAATCTTAGCCATATATGATATTGAATTTTTATTTACGTTATCATATATTGGAAATGATTTTTGTAAGAAAACGCATGTAGAAAATTTTCAAGAAATCTCTTTTCTCGACCAAGATATTGTCTCTTGGAGAGAAATGTTTGTAAGGGTTTGAAGTGCAAAAGTCGGTATAACGTTATCGACTGCAAAAAGTGCGGATGCACTGTATTTTCATGCCTCGATGGCGTAGTTTGAAGATTCTCTGAAGAAAGAGCTTACCAACAATAGTCTTTCAAAGAAGTTTCGTTTAAATAGGATCATAACGACGAATTTATTTATTTCTTATTGAGCAACTTTTGCCAAATAATATAAAGAATTTTTCGAAAAGAGTTATTGAAATATAGCGTTTTATTTTCAGCGAATTACACAAGGTCTGCCTGACTGAAGCGCCTTGCATGATTTTCCTGCAATCTCCTTAGCAAACAACTGTTGGTAAGGGAACTACCTGTATCGCAGTTTACTGAATTCAATTCTGTATATCACTCAAAATATATTAGACAAAAATAATTAACAATATGTATAACAGTATCTCATGTCAATTATTTTTAATAGTATGTTTATTATTCAAATTTTAAAAGCATAAATATTCAATTAACACGCTATCAGATACAATATTACATTATGATTTTATTAGAGCATATTATAGTATACATATAATATACGTATATGTTATAGACTATATAATAAAGTAGATTTTATTTCTCAATCAATATTTAAATATAATCAAATAATTGTTAATATTTAAAAATAATTGTAACATAAAATATAAATATTTTTATTAAATTTTGTTTAATGTTGAAAAAGAAAGATTGATCGTATAAATACTCGTCAACTAAAATGCACTTTTTAAATGACACATAACTTTACAGCACATTCGGCTTTTTATACTCAACAATTGAAAAGAAAGTCACGCGGGGAGGGGGAGTGCTTTCTCTTACAAAACCTTTAATTGACTTACAATGACCGTGCGAAACGCAGAATAACGAACATTTTGTCCATCCATCAACCATCCATCTGACCTCGTCTTAAACATGCGTTTCCCCAGCAACTTCGAAAACAATCGATTCATCCGTCAACCCCGGCATCTATCCGCGCTCTACTTATCTTTCTGTCGTATCGCCACCCTTGATGTATCGAAACTATGCCGTCCCTGGGATCTCGACCGCTGAGGCTAATCCCCCTTAGCGGACTTGGACCATGCTCCAGCATCGTTTGCGACGATCGCGATAGAATCAACGTACACCCTCGCGCTTACCCTTGAGAGCGAAGGCGAGAATATAGGTGAAGAAGGGAACGGGAGAGGAAAAGAGAGAGAGAGAGGGGGGAGGGAGAGACAGAGTGAGCTCGCAATACACGGCAACGGTCGTGAGCTACGGGAGTTCGCAAGAGGGCGGCTAGGGGTAAGAGAGATGAGGCATGTGGCGCGCGATGGTTACTCGAGAGAGATGGGGCAAGTTCTCCGGTACACGGTGGTGGGCACAATATTGATCTGTGGGGTGGGCTTCGGGGATGCTGTCCTCTGGTCCTCTCCTCCGCCCCCGGGCCGCCGTTCTCACCCGCCTTCTCGCTCCCCCTCCCCCCCGCGGTGCCACCCTCTCCCCGCGTCATCGCACCCCCAAGTCTACTACCCTGGTACTCTCGCGATGTGGTGGGGGTCACGCTAGTTGCGTGCTGGTCCAGTCCGCAGCCTCCCGCGAAATCGTGGTGGGAACCGGAGGCGGCCACGGGAGGTAGAGGCGTCGGAGAGGGTGGTTTCTCCAGAGGTGGAAGTGGCGTAGGAGGGTTATGGCCATCGTGGGGAGCGCGCTCCTCGCGTCTATATCGCGGCGGTGGCTGCGAGTCGCGAGAGCTCGACCGGCAGCTCGTACACGACCCCGACCGTCTCCTTTTTCAGGGGTTTCGGTTTCCGGTTCGGACACCCGTTCGCAGGGACGAGGCGGTTTTCTCCATCCCCCGTGTGTCCAGTCCCTCTCTTTCTCTCTCTTTACCTCACTTTACCTTTCTTATTTTCCGTCACCTCTTTTTTCTCTCCATTCCTTTTTCTCTGGTCTTCCATAGTTTCCCTTTTGCCAACCGCTGTCTCAGTCTAGCGCGAGTTGCCACGTTCGGCCGAACTTCGTGGTGTACACCCTGTGCGTGCGGCCTGTAACAGGAGTCTACGCGTCTCCTCATCTTCGTCGTCGTGCTCGCCGGTACTCATCGTCACGGATTACTCGCGATTAACGCTTCGCATCCCGCTCGTGTTAAACCCGGTGCGCACGATGCGAGGTAGAACCGTGCATGCAAGAGGTACGACTTCGCCGGACGAGAGCAATTACGGATAAAGGAGTAAAGCGAATAGTGCAAGCGGAACAACGAGGACGAGGCGGATGGGAGTGCGGAGAAAAAGGAGGGATAGCCGCAATAGGACAGGAAGAGCGGCAGTGGTGAACACGGATATACGAGAATGCACGTTCGCGCGAACGCGTGATCCGTGCTGAAAGAAACGAGTGCGACAAGAGAAAAGGGGAGAGAGAGAGAGAGAGTGCGAAAGAGAGCAGAAATCGGGGAGAGAAGAAAAAGCCGCGAGAGCAAGAACGGCAAAGAGAACGGCGAATTCGTTGCCTACGTGGAATGGGCTGCTGGCAGAGGGAGCAGCCACGCTCCGCGAAGTTGCCTAGATACCGGGCAACACCGTGTTGCGCTCCGGTGAAGTAGGAGGCAGCGAAAGAGGCGGAGGTGGTGGTGCTGCTCCGCGGGAGGATGGAACGCGCGGTGGACTGTAGTGAGACGAGGAAGACGATTGCCGGCCAGGCCGCGAACGCAGGTCCGTGGTGCTGCCAGGAATCGCGATAGCACACCTGCGCCCCTCTCGAAGCTCGCCGAGAGAGAAAGAGAGAAAGAGAGAGAGGAAAAGAGAGAGCATAGGTCGGAAATCTTGCGGCAGCGTGCTAGCGGCTCGAAGCCAATCACGAAAAATAACCGCGGCGTCGTTCGCGGTACTACAGTTAGCCATTGGATTCGTCGAGCGTTACTCGTTAGGCTGGGGCTACACTATGTGCGGTTTCGCGATTCGCGAATCCGATTCGCGAAAACGCGCATAGTGTAGCCCCAGCCTTACTGTTTGGTGTCGACGAAATAGTTGCTGCACGTCTCGTAGAATTCTGGAATCGCGTGATGGTTCATTGTGGACTCTCCTGTCAAAACCTCTTTTTGTATTAAAAATTTTTTTACAAGCTCGCGCGAATATCGAGCGTATCCGTGGCTATATATCGTTTTGCGCTTGCAACCGGAAAGGACCACGCACTAATTATATGAAAAAAGTGGCCACCGTTAAAAT